AACTTGAGCTTTGGTTCGGCTTGTTTCGCCCCCGACCGATGATCAGACAATGATTGAACTTAACTCTGGCTTCTGGGAGACAATGAATAATTTGATTGTTTGTGTGCTTGACTTGTTTGTTGGTTTTGCTCTACTTATGATTTTCTTGCATTGTTAACCACATAACTAAGAACACTTGGCCATTTTGTGAACTTAGAGAAAGTTTATGTGATTTTCATGTTTCTTAAGATCTCACTGGACTCTAGAACTTGTTTGATTATCACTCGAGATGAAATCCCAGGTAGTTTATCACTAAGGAAATGATTTAGGCCATTTTTGGATCATTTGAGCTGTTTGAGCTTACCCTGTTATAATAATATCCCTAGTCACCTCTTTGAGCCTGATTAAACTTTTCTTTGTCATCCACATTATCAGCTCAGCCTTTAAATAAATCCTATCATTCACCATTTCCCTTAAGCTTGTTGATTATTCTAGGATGCACGTTGAGTTATGCTTGAAATTGGGAGGTGTATTGATATTTTCTATAATTTGTTTGATGTCTCCAATGAAATTCTGTATTTGTCACATTTATAAAAAAAAAGAAAAAAACAAAAAAAAAAGAAAAAAAAAAGAGAGAGAAAGAAATAAAGAGTGGAGACAAGAATGTTGATGGCAAATGGCGGATGTATTGGGATATTGAGTTAGAAGTTCTACAAGAGGATCCTAGAGTAATTGATGAGTTTAGGGAATTTAGAGCCTCATTGATATCCGTTTATCCTACCTTAATCCCTAGCCATTCAATTCAAGCATAATAAAGTCCTATTGATCCTTGGTGGTTTGTTGACTGACATTAGTGGAGAGTGATAAGAAAAGCAATCTTATGGAGTTTGAAAAATCAGAGATCTACCTTGATTCACTTAATTGCATAAACTCATCTGAGTTGCATTTGGGTATGTGTAATTGATAATTCACACACACACATAAGGAGTCTTCGGTGGGGGTGAGATTAGCATTCGAGTTGAAATTCTAAACTTTCAAAAAGTTTAAAGTCTTTCTTGAGCTATAACTTATGTGAGATCTCTGAGGCATTTTTTTTTTTTTTGTGAAACAACGCTGGATCAATACTCAAGCAAGGTTTCATTTATTTATGTTTCGTATTATTCGTGTTTTCATTTCTTTTTAGTTTTCTTTCTTTCATTTTTGTTTTGCTCGAGGACTAGCAAAATATTAAGTTTGGGGGTATTTGATGAGTGAGTTTTACTTGCTCATTTAGTATCATTTTACACTTAATATCTAGTTGGTTTTCGAGGTTTTTGTTAGTTTTTATGTTTGTTTTCATTCTTTGTTTGAAGGTTAGGTGAAAGTCTATGATTTGGAAGGTTTTGGACAACTTTTGGTGGAAAAAGACAGCAAACATAGCGCTTAGGCGCCAATTTGTAGCGTTTTGACGCCCAGTTTTACGGAACAAAGACATTTGGGCAGAATGGGCAGCGTTTTGGCACCCAGGATTTTTCACAGGCAGCGCTAGAAACTCAGCGCCGCGGCGCTACGACGCGAGAAAAGGCGTGTTTTGAAGGCCAATCGTGAGAAAACTTGCCCGTTTTAACCCTAATGCTCCTAAACATATAAATAGATTATTCTAGGGCAATTAAGGGGGACTTTTGGACTTGAGAGTGACGGTTGACTTTTGAGAAGAGATTCAAGAAGAAAAAGGAGAATTGAGTACGGAGAAGAACAACAGCAAAAATCCGGAGACGGAGACGCTTCAATTCAACTCCAAACTAGTTCTTTTCTTTCCTTTCCAATGATTAAGACTTTGTTTAGGAATTTATTTTGTTTAGAGATGAACTAATTTCTTTTTCTAGGGCTACGATGTAGTCAGATTATGAATGTTCAGATTCTCTATTTTCTTTTTAAGTAATTGATGTTTAATTCATATATACTGAGTATTTCAATTTATTCATAATGCTTGTGATTGTTTGGCCAACTATTACATGATTTTGTATTTGATTTGAGACCGAGAGGTGATAATTAAATAAGCTCTTAATTGAAATACCATGAGTTGTTCATAGGATAGAGATATCTATGATGCTTGTGCAGTTCTTTTAAATTTCTTGCACTTAATGATTTTCAACAGGTTTAGAATTCTGACAGAGATGTAGAGTTTGCTTGTTGGATTAATATTATTATTGCTTGAGAAAGAATAATAATTGCTTTAGAGAAATTACTGTCAGTATATGATTGAATGTTAATTTTCTTGAATTATAGGAATTTGAACATGATTAATTTTGGTGAAATCAGATACGTTAGAGTCTTAATCTATTGAATTTTATTCCATTGCGTAGCGTTGTTTGATTTATTTAATCGTTTTAGTTTTACTTTACTTAATTTTATAAACTCTCTTTTCGATTATTCAAATAAAATTAGGGTTAATATAATTTTGGTAATTAGTAAACAACAATCCTTGTGGGATGATATTCTTATTCACTATTATATTACTTGATTGCGATAGCATATACTTGCGTTATGATTTTTTACAACAACAGCTAAATAATCTTTATTGGCAACGGCATATCAAATATTTACCGTTAACGGAACGCACCTGCTAGTCAAGTGTAAAAGGTTTATTAATGCTTCTTTTTTTTAAAAAAAATAATTTTAATAAATCTTTCCTAAGAGTAGTTTTTGAAGTGAACTGTGCATTAGGATTATATACAACCTTAATATATCGTTGCCAATTAGGATGCTCTACAAAACTAAGTGGTTGATCTAAAGCAGCTATCATTCGCGCAACTTCCATATGATCTACTTGCGGATCATATTTCCAAGTGGTTAGACCACCGGTTGCGCGATCAAAAGATAATTGTGTTTGGCGGAGTTCGGGTCCGCCGGATTGGCTAAGCTTTTGAAGACACTTTTCGGAGTGTCTTCTCAAGTGTGTGGTACCATGTATAGTGTCACCTTGTAATTTAGATAAACAATATTTACACTGAGCTATATGTTTAGTTTTACCTTCATTGTCGATCTCCTCAATTGTGTCAAAGTGATCCCAAACTGTCGATGTGCGCTTGCATTTCCTCCTAGAGGTTGCAACACTTGTAGACGCAAAGACAGTCACACTGGCACTCGCCGCTTCTCCACGCCCACCACCATTGCGACCACGACCTCCAGTACGTCCACCAAGGCTCAGATTAGTGAGAAATTGCCCTTCTTCCACGTTGTGTTAGGCATCAACGGGAATACCACTATAACCAAATGGATCCATTATAAAAAAATAAGAGTGATTTGAGAGAGAGAGCTTTAGAATAATGTGATAGTTTTTAGAGAAATTGTGAGAGAGATTTGAGAGATTGAGAGAGATTGAGAGAAATTGAGAGGGATTGAGAGAGCTTGAGTGAGAAAAATGTGTGGGGGATGGGGGGTATTTATAAGGAAATTTTTGGGTTAAAAAATTGATTTTTTTTTATAAAAAAAATCAGGTGCAACGGCTACTTTAGGGTTTCAGCGGGTCAGATTTGGGTGGGTTCGGGCAACAACGGTAAAAAAAACTAGCCGTTGGACAAGTTTTTGGGCATTCGGGCAAAATCGGGTTTTCAGGCTTATTTTCGGGTCGGGCACCAACGGTCAAAATTTTGACCGTTTCTCGGGGAGTCGGGCAGGTCAGGCATTCGGGCAAATCGGGTTTGGCCTGAAAAATTCAAAAAAAAAAAAACTCCGGCGGACGGCAGTTGACGGCGGCGTGCTCCGGCGTGGTGTCCATTTTCGGGCTGCCTGAGCCAGAGCCTGAATTTATAACTTTGGACAGGCCGGCAATTGGGCCTGCTCGCCGTGCCCGAAAAATTTAGGCCTTGGGCCGGCCGGCCCGCCCAAAGTTCCAACACTAATTGTAACTATGGGAAACCGAGCAAGATTATCCTTGTGAACGAACTTGTGTAGGTTAATATGAGTGTGGAACTTTTCAGTTAAATTTTGAGTTTTGAAACATTGCGTGGAGTGTCATCACTAGTTTCTAGAAAAAAATCCAGAGTATACATCTTTTGGTTTTAGGGTCAACTCTCTCTCTCCCCCACACATGAACCAGAGAAAAAAAGTGAACAACGACCAGAGTTATGAGACTGCAGGACTCCCAGCCATGAAACATAGACCTAATTTTGCCTAGTTGTGAGCTTCTTGTTAGTGGTGGCAGTCTATGGTGCGGTGGCTTTGTTTGGGTGGATCTAAATCAGTTTGGAGCTGGAAGCCAAACAAATGAGATTCGTTTTCAGGCGAGTTTGTCATTTGGTGGCTGAGATCTCTTGACCGGCTATCTCCCTCGACGGCCCATTGGCCAGTTGCTCTTCACAGGACGGTGGTGGTCGGAGGTTCTTTTTGTTTTCTTTATGTAATTTTCGTGCTTGTAATAAGGGCGACGGTCTCCCTACCCGACCCTCATTTGTTTTGCTATTTGTTGTTAGTTTTTGGTGGTCAACTTAAAGCCATTTGTATATCTCCTGATAGATTAGTCTTGGTCCAACTAGATTTTTTTTATGATATGTAGATGTCCCCTCTTTGTGGGGTTCGACGAGCAGTCCCTTTAGCACTCCAAAACCTATCTTGATGGGAGGAGTTTCTTCAATTCGAGCTTTATGTGTGCTCATTATTAGCGTGCTGAGATGTTCTCCTATTTTCGGATCTCAAGCGTGCATTGTCTCTCTAATGTATCATTAACATTGTACTAAGATAGAGTGTTTATTAATTTTTAATTAAGTACAATTCCCCTTTCAAAAAAAAAAAAAATCCAAAGTATCAAGTTTGATATGAAAATAAGGGAACTTGTAGGTTCTATTTTTTATTTTTTATTTTTTATCTTTTATTTTTCTGCCCTATCGATAAGGAATCATCTAAGGGTCAATTTAGTCAAGGTTTAGAACCTAGCTTAACTTAAAAAAGCCCAACTACTATTTTCTTTTTTCATCCAATTTTGTATTTTCATCACCAGGTATAGATTTACAACAATTTCTATTCCTAATTACAATGGCTGGAGGAATAAATAGAGAGGAAAAGGATAATAATAATAATAATAATAATACAAGGAATCTGTTTGAATTGGAACTCTCATCGCCACCAAATCAAACACTCAAAAGGCAAAAAGCATACACACAAAGGTCGCAATTTGCAAAACATTTACCAAGAGTCCTAACTTCTCTAAGGACCTGCAATTTCCTTTCCGGCTGCTTTTAATTTCTTCACCATGTCTGCATGCTTTTGGCCACCAAGATGGAAGTTGAAAACTGTTTGGCTATTGCACACCACATTGCATATGGCGCAGGTTCTAATGGCACCAGCTGCTCCTCCGGCTTTCACAATCTTCTTTCTCTTCGCCTCCAAATCCTCTCCCGTAGGAATTTTCAATGATTTCGGCGCGTCAACAACATTTTTACTCTTGTTGGCCTCAGGGTTTTCTGCCGGACCAATCATTGGAGTCGATGAAGAAGATGATGAGATTGTTGAGGAAGAAGTGGAACTGGGATTATTCTGCAACTTGTTCAGTTGCTCCAAGTTCTTCTGGTGCTTCTTTCCCGATAAGTGACTGACATATACATCGTTGCTGTTGCAGTTGATTTTGCAAACTTCACACCATGCAGATTGAACAAACTTGATTTTCTTTGGGAATTTCTTTGGAGTGCCGTTGAATTGAGCTCGAACTGCAGCAAAGTACGGTCCAATGTCACCTAAAGCTGCTAAAGCAGCCTACAAAATGAACCAAGACCGGTTATAATACAGAACGGAAGCAGTATAATAAAGAATGGAGATTATTAAACAAAGCCAAGCTAGCATTTGGTAGATAGAAGGAACTTCAACTAAATACCGTAAACAAACTATACCGAAAAGATTTTTAAAATTTACACATACATCTAGGAAGTACTTGACATATCTTACAAGTCATGTCTAGATTTCATCGGAATTGTATTTCAATACGAGTATTTGACATTATACATAAAAACAAAGATTAACTGGAATGAACAAAGCCCTTTTCCATCCCCTTTAAACTTCATTGACCACAAATTCTGAACTTGTCTATCCATGGGTAATCCTTAGAACCTACTTAGCTTAATGAATGGCAACTATCAGGGTCCCAGTACCAAAGAATTCCCAAAAATATTCCAAAGGAAGACTTCAATGAAGCTCAAAAATTTCGGGGTTTATGTACAAACTCAATACCATTAGTATTCGAGCCAAAAAAAAAAAAAAAAAAAAAAAAAAAACCAACCTCAATACCAATAGTAAAATAGACAAACCGAATACTGCAAATACATGGACACAATTACTATGCAGCCAAATCTTGAAAAACAAAACAAATGAGCCATCATCATTTGCATCTTTATAAAGCAGCACTCTTGTAACTCACTTGAGCTGCATGCTTTCGCCCGGCCACATGTTTATTGAACACTTCTTCACTATTGCAAGCAACATTGCAGATTGTGCACATTCTTACAGAATCAAGAGCTGTACCACAGCCCAGAATTTTTCTTTTCTTCATCTCCAACTCCACACTAGTAGCCATTGTCGGCGTTCCATATGTTACTTGTCCCCCTATGCTGCTTGTTTGGTTTGGAAAACTGGTATTGATGATTATATTAGAGGAAGTTAACATTGCACTTGCAGGATTAAATCTCACTTTCTAATTCCTATTACGGTTCTTACCGAATAAATTGTCTCAGAACATCTTTGCCATTATAAAAATCATACCTTATTGTCTGGCTGGCCTCAGTTTGCTGAGGAACAATCGCCGTTACATTAGTTGCAGGAGGTTGATGCGTCCAAAAGGAATTTGAGCTTGTGGTAAGCAATGAATTTTCATTCTCAGGTTTTGCAAGCTGCAAACAGTAAGATATCGTATCTTCAAAAATCAAGTGTGCAAAATAAAAAATGCAAAATACAGAATTCCAGCACTTGAACCTACGAAAGCGTATAAATTTTATATATTTGTGTAATCGTATATATAATGCATACTTGCATATTTCACTCCATTTTGTCTTAAGAGCACTCCCTTAAATCTGGATTCCACTACAACTCTGAAGGCTGAAGCTATACAACACATAGATGTTTTCACTATTTTTTGAACGATTTTTAAATCCATGTGTTCTTGTCAAATACTTTATTTAGACATTCTTACTAAACTCATTAGCAAATAGAGAATGTCAACGATACAATTCTAGTCTTACTAATTAATTTGCCACAATTCAAAATAACCAAATTCATCAATCATACAACCAAACTCAGTACAACAGAAAAAAATATTCAATTTTGACCAACATCAAAATATGTATAGCAGAAAACGAAACCTCACCTCAACAATTCCAATTTCCCAGTTAAAATTCACATCAAACCTCAGAAATTAATCTAAAAAAAAACAAATTAATCAGCCAACTCACAGCGTCATATCTGATTGGTGCAGATTGTTTGACGACCCAATTCTGAGAAGCTGAATTTGGGTCTTCAGAATTCGGCGGTTTGGCTTGGAATTCACCGCTAGTCAATTGGAGGGACCCCCAATTGGGAAGTGGGTCAGTCCCTGGTGGGTGAATGTAGGGCTCCGAGGTTAGAGAAGATGAAAGAAATGGTTGAGGAACAGGAAAGTAAGGATTGTTAGGGTTTGTAGTGTGCAATTGGTCAGGGAAATGAGAGGATAGATTGGTGTATGTGAATTGTGATGGATCGAACATTGGGAATTTGAGATAGGGTTAGGGTTAGGGATTATCAATTTGTAAGGAAAAATTAGGGTTAGGGCTTAATTGGTTTGATCAAAGTGCAGAAGAGAAGGCTATCTGCGATTCTGCCATGGAAGTGAAGTCTAGATTCAGGAACACTTGCTTGGAGAGAGGGAGAGAGAAATTTTTATTTTATTTTTAATTTTATTATTAACTTTTTTTTTTTTTTTTTTTTTCAAAGGTTGAAGATTTGGACGGTAAAGATTGATTTGTTTCATCGTGGGCTGATAATGGGCGGATCTAAAGCAGTCCATCGGAAGAAAGTTAAATTATTATTTTTATCTATAACTTGTTTGATTATAAATTGATAAGTTATTATCTATTATTTGTCTGACTATAAATTATAACTTGACAAATTTATTCATAATTTATCTAATTATGAAATATAACTTATCTAATTATGAATTATAACTTAACAAATTATAACCTATTAATTTTTATAATTAAAAATTGATCTATTGACTTATTTTTTACTATTTTCGGTGCTTTTCTCTCATGCGTGAGATTTGAGCCCAATTCAATCAAAGAAGACTCGTCGCTAGTTGGGCTTGGCCTGATTGACAGAAGATTATGCCGCACGACATGCCTTTTACTAGTTTGAAATATTTCAAAAAAGTAAAAAATATTTTAGTAGTAAAAATTAAAAACATTAGAATAATTACAATGTAGTTTCATAGTGTAAAATGTTAATGTTATTATAATAATTACTATGTAATTTTTCTTTTTAAAATATTTTAAAACATCTTCTTTGTTGTTTTGATTTACGTCATTTTCTGTTGCTTTAAAAAAAAAAAAAAGATATTGCTAAAGAATCTATAAAAATACTTATCAATAATGATGTATAATCCTGCTTTATTTATTTATTTATTTGATGGAGGTTTTTTAGTACTATATATAATAGGATTTGACTGCTTCTCAAGAGTTAGATTGTGTGTATAGGTATTTCCTTAAAAAATTGCTTTCACCGGGATAAAGGGTTAGAAATTAGATCTTATTCTTTAGCATTTGCCAACATGCAGTTTCCATATGCAGAAGAGTTGGAGAGTTAACGCACAGTCTCAATAATTTAAAACCAGGTAAGAACTTCAAAGAAATCTCTGCTTTTTTATTAGTAATTTTATTTTAATTTTTGAAAAAGATGTGTATTTGTTGCATTCATGAGAACATATAATTTAATAAATGAAATTCTTACTTTTCTGTCTGTATTTTTTTTTAATTGGTGAAATTGAAAATTTTTCATTCTATAAGAAAAGGAGGGAGTAAACCACTACCTTATTGCCCCTAGCATATACTTCTTATATTTGACAATTTACTCTCTGAATATGTAAAATAATAATGATCAACTCAATCACTAACCAAGGCAAGTTTTCGATAGAATAAATTTCAACTTTATAGCATTTGTGTAACACTTCGAAGAATTAAACATGATTAATTAAGATAATCGAAATTTATTAGTGTGTCTAATCTGATTTAATTAAATAATTATGTTCATTAAATATTTTTGGTATTTGAATTTAAATATTTTCAGTATTTATATTTTCATTCCAAAAGTATATGCAGACACACTTTCTAGTCTACTTTTATAAATATCTTTTAGAAATTATCATTATTTTTCTTTATTTCTTTTCTTTTCTTTTTCTTTCTTCTTTTGTCTTTTTTTCTTTCCTGTCCACCCTTAACTCTCTCTCTCTCTCCTTTCCTGTCGTTTCCCTCTCACCCTCTCTCTCTCTGTCATTCTCTCACTCTCTCCAGTATGCTCTCTCTCGCACTTTCCTCAAAATTTGTTAAATCTTCCAACATCTTGAACCAAAGAAGAACTTTAAGGAGTTTTCAACATCAAGAGAAGGATTTTGGGTAAGATTTCTTAAAAATTTCTCTTGAATCTCAAATTTTTTCTGTTAGAAAAACCTATTTTTAGTTTAAATTGGATTTTGATGGATTTTGGGTAAAATCACGGTGAAAATTGGGAAAAATTGGTTCTTTGGACTTGATTTAGTAATTGGAACATGGATTTGGTAGTTTTCCCTTGAAATATCTCGGATTGGAACTTGGATTTGCAGGTTTTGGCCTTGTTTTTTTTTTCGGATCGGCTATATCGGTCGAGTTGTCCAGCTCCCACTAGTCGACCGGTCCGGTCGACCGGTTCCCTCTTCACCGGCCGACCGGTGAAGAACAACTTCTCTGTCACCGGTCGACCGGTGCACATGTGAACTGTACTGAATTTATATAAAAACCTTGTTTTGACCCTGGTTTTCATAATGAACCCAAATTAGCTTCATTTGGGAACCTAAAGTAGATGGATTAGCATATTTAATCCATGTTTTTAGATGAAAATCCTTGGAATGATGATTTGAAACATGAAATGATTTATGAAACTTGAAATTGGATTAAAGCACACTAATAGGAAATCGAAGTGTATAATGGGGATTGATTTGCTTTAGGAATGAGAAATGAATCCTAAAGCATTGTTTTGTATCAATGTTAGTTGAAGAATCAAATTGAAGGTTTCGAGGAAGCGGAGGCTAGGATAGCGCAACGCTAGCCACATGTTTGGTGCTTAAAAGGTAGGATTTCTTGTGTTGGTTTCCGAATCAAATTCGGATGCGGAAGCGTGGGGATAGCGGATCAAATATAACAAAAATTTTCATAAAACCTTTGAGCACTCTATAGATTATATTAATTTATGCACGAATAAATTAATCACATTAATTTATTTATTAGAACTCAATTAGGAATAATACCTGGCGGCCAATTAGGATGATAACTTGAGTTCTTTGACCTCGAACAATCCTTGCTCTAAACCCTTGTGTTTAGAAAACCAATGTCTTCCACGTCAATTTTTAGAATCTATGAAGATGTGTGTGTGGGCATACCTAGGACAAAACGGGTTAGAATAAACACTCGAATTTCTAAAAACACCAACGCATGTACGATGTGGAATTTTTGGAGAAAACTTTTTCCTTCTCACTCTATAGAGAATTTCGGCCACACTCTAAAAATATGTTAAAAATTGTGTCTCACAATTTTCTATTATTCTCTTATTTATAGAGTAGAAGTCAAACTTCTAGAAGGAAACAAATCTCTGTCTCCAAGATAAAGCTTGTTAATTATCTTCTATTTGAATTTGGAACAAAATCTCCTCTTCCTTATCCTTAATGTGGCCGGCCATGTGTAGGGATTCTCATCCCTGTGTGGCGCTAATTACAGATAGGGAAGGAAGAGAAAATCATCATTTATCCTGTAGTCCAATCTTGATTCAAATTCAAATTCCAATTTAAGTCAAACTTAAATTAATTTGAATTCTATATTGAACAACTTATCAAATAAGTTTAAATGGATAAATCTAGATGTTTTCAAATTCAAATTTAAATAATCTCATTATTTAAATAATAATAATTAATTCTCAATTAATTATTTCTAAGTGTTTAATTTTAGAATTCCATAATTCTAAAATTTCCATTTTGCCATTTGTGTCTGGTAGAATTACAAGGATGATGCGGGGACTAATGGACCTATAATTCTGAGCTCTAATAAAATTAATAATTAACTAAACACTTTAATTAATTAATTAATGCTATTAATTCCAATAGTTACTCCACTATAAACTTGGAATTGCACTCTCAAAATTATAGACATTAATTACTTCTAAACTGTGAAGTGTCCATTTGATATAGTCACCGCATATAGATCAATTCTCTACAAATAATTCATAATTAGAGCTAGGTAAAATCCGTTAACCTCTCTAATTATGTCTTCATCCTTGAGTACCATTGATTCTCTAATGGATAGTGATTCATAAAACACATTCATGAACCAGAACGCTCTTACTAATCCAAGTACCGAATCAACACTCAAGAGAATTATTTATCTGCTTCTTTTTCAAGAAGGAATGGATTCCATCTCGTATAATAACATTCCCGGCTACCTACTTCATCATGTCTCCAAAATACAAGGAATAGGATTCAGCAATTAGAATTTCTATACTTAACGAAAATTATTAGAAATTCATATTGTGTCTGTATCCCTGTTCCACATAATCTCATTATGCGTAATACACTCATTCAATATCTCACCATATTAACAGTGCGGATAACACTGTTCCATTCTAAATGGGAATGACATGTATTAGTAATGTTCTAGTTAAAGATTCTGAACTTTAATTAAATTTATTACGAACATTGTTTTTTGATTATTATCCTTAAACATTATCCTCTCTCATATAACACTTATATACAATGTTTAAGGTCACATAAATAATCATAGAATTTTTATTGATATTCATAAAATATTCACAAATATATACACATAAAACGATGAATAAACTCTTTTATTACATAAATAATAAATATCATATTACATCTTATGCTTCTAGGATACCATTCCTAACAATCTTCCACTTGTCCTAAAGCAAGTAGAATATTTCTCCAATCCTTAAACTTTCTAGGTGTCTATGACTGATCTATGCCTGGAACAACTTCGAGATTAGTTAAGAATTTATGGAGTTAGGTTGCTTTCTTTTGCTGCTTCACAAGCTGCAACACATTAACTCTTAATGATAGAATTAGCAGTCACACTTTGCCAACAACCTTTCATATCATGACTCATTCACCTAGTGTGAACACAGATTTGGATGTCGACTCTCGAAATCCATGCAAGACTCATAGTCAAAGTCTGTGTATCCAGCTAAAAGACAACTTTTTCATTGACTAAACTATCTTATAGTTTCTTGCTTTCCTCATACACTTAAGGATACACTACAACGCTAACCAATGATCGATCTTGAGTTCAACTGACAACGACTAACCACTCCCACTGAATATCATATATTCAGGTTTGCGAAGAACAATAACATATTCTTTTCTTTTGTTTGATACATCTTGGTTTTGATCAAATCCATTTATCAAACTAGATGTTTCATGATCTAGAAGCTTGCTTCAATCCATAAATGGATCTCGACAGCTGATTAACGCCCAAAAGTGATGTTCAGAAGCGGTCAATTGTAGTACAGAAGGGCGGTCGTATCCACAGAGAGATATCAAAATAACAAGAAATATAAGTAAAATAAGAGCGTAAGAGAAAGATAAATAGCAAGTGAATTAAAGAAAAAGAAGAGTTTTTGTGATTTTGTTGGAAATAAAATAA